TCTCTGACGTCTCCGGTCTGTCCTCCATCTACAGCTTCATGTCCCCCCAGAGCCAATCGGCAGAGGGCGCCGTGGAGGAGTCAAGGGAGGTGCAGCCCTACGTGGAGCTGACCTACAGCCAACCTCCACCGGCTGAAACGCCGTCAGGGGAGGAGGCACCGCTGGCGCCCGGTTCAGCTGTTAAAGTGAGTGTTATAAAGCTTCTGTACGTTTTAATACGTTCTGTATTCTAAACAAAGATCCTGCTCGTCTGGATTATTTAGTAGGTACAACATTTATTAATTTATTCTAAAAGCTAAAAGACAGTTAAAAGTAAAATCCTTCCCTGGCTCCTGCTTGTAGCCGGGCTCTCATCCAAACGCAGCCGAAGTCTAAAAATAGTGTGTGATTTTTATTATTACGCCGGCCTCCGAGGAGCAAACAGTGAAAATATCTTGTGTAAAGAGAGAAAACTGAGAACAAACGACAAAAAATAAATAAGCACAAGCATTTGGAAACGGGAGTTCTTCAATAAGTCACTAGTTACCTCCTCCGTAACCAGGCCCAAAGCCAGTAGCCCCTCCCACCAGCTTTCAGAATACAATAAACTGATTTTCCTAACTAGATAAGAGGATCTACATCTGTTACACTCATATATTCAACAATAATTATTCCCATCCCCACAAACGTTTTCCTCCCCCTGAAACGAAACACAAATTATTAATACAATTATGTAAAGCTGTTGGACTCGCCTTGTTGCTGAAAGCAGCTTTACAGATAAACTTCCCAGCAGTGTTTCATATCTTTTCCATATCTGGTGTCTTATAATCTGGGTTTTACTGTTTGGTCCATAACTCTAATGAAAAGGTTAAAGTCTGCTGCTTCGCAGGACGAAGAGGAGGAGGAGGAGGCGGCAGCGGAGTCTGTGCGGCTCGTTCGCCTGGAGCAGAGTCTGACGGCGCTGTGGGAGCGCGTGGAGGCCGGAGGGCGGCGGGCTGAGCAGAGACACAGGGAGGTGGCCCGGCTGTACGCTGACCTCCAGGGCGACGGCGAGGGACTGGAGCCCTGGCTGAGCGGCCTGCTGGACCGGCAGCTGGACCAGCTCAGGAGACAACTGGACGAGGAGAGACTGCACAGGGACCAGGTCAGGGACATCTCTGGTTCCTAACGTGAGGGTCGGGACCCACGTGGGGTCTCAAAGTAAATCGCAGGGATCTCAAGATGACTCAGACTTTGTTGCCCCCTGATTTATTCACCAATCATTTATTATGGGAAACATTATATTCAAATACGTTTCAGTGCAAATTGAACAGCGTGATTTTTAAGATCCATAATGATTTGAGATTCTCGTTCAATATTTCGATATATCTGCTTTTCAGAAACACTTAACGTAACAACTTTTAATTGTCAATGTGTTTAGACTGCACAGCACAAATCTGACGTCGGTCGGACTAAACGCCCAGGAGGAGTTCGTTAAAGTACAAAATGTGTAAATCGCCAAAAATGACCATTAAATCCAAAATGGCCGACTTCCTGTTAGGTTTAGGGCATCGCTCCAAGAGGCTTTTTTGTTATTTCCTGGATTTTTACCGCCCCCTCTTGAAGCTCGAACAGGCCGCTGAGGATGATGGGAGTCTGTTTGTGTTCCCGTAGACTCGGCAGCAGGATCTGTTGCAGCAGCAGAGCCAAACGTCTCGTCTGGATCAGCTGGAGCTGCAGCTGCGGACGCTGGCTGCAAAGACAGAGGTACTGTGTGGTTTATAAAAGCAGACGCTCCGTTGTGTTTGTTCGCTTTCAGGACACTTTTTGTTCTTCATCAGGAGGTGCAGCGGAGACATGAAGCTGCCGCAGTCCCAACCTCACCAACAACACTTCCAGCCGCCGTCAGGTAACCTTCCAAGGCCTCGTCCTCGGCTGTAGTTTAGTTTCCAAATGTGAGCAGAAATAAAAGGCAGCAGTCCAACTTTGCTTTCTTCTGTGAAGGGAACTCTTCAACTATCTGTTGTCTTGTAACTTCCTCTAGTGTTGGTGTGGACCGCCTGTCCCATGATGCCTTGCTGGCGGAGGTTGCGCGGTTGGCGGCGGCTCTGGAGGACGTCCGGCACCACGTTGAGGATCTGTCAGAGTGTCAGGGCGACGGCCAACAGCTCGACAGAATCCGGCAGACGGTGAGAGAGAAGACGCAAACCTCACTTATTATTACAGTAACAGTGAAGACGCGGCGAGGGTTCGCCTCGTCAGCTGGACCGTCACAGCTGCAGGTGACGCTGAGCGGCGCCGAGCAAATGCTGCACAACCGTGATAATAATAATCTCTCAGCTTCAGCTGTGAAAACCTTTCCCTCGTGTCCTCTGTCAGATTTCAGCGCACGTGTCCGCTCAGGTCCGTGAGGAGGTTCGTACTCTGGTCTACGGCAACCAGCTGGCGGTGAGGGGCGGGGCCTCCGGGGACGACGACGCGGGCCTCCCGGAGTCTCTCCTCCGGTGGTTGTCGCAGCAGTACGTCACCGGGGCCGACCTGAAGGCGTCGCTGGCCTCCCTGGAGCTCAGCATCCTGCAGAACATCAGCCTGCAGCTGGAGCAGCGCCGCAGCGAGGAGACGGTCAGAGAGGCCGTCCTGCACGCCACCGGGGCCGCTGGGGCCGCCGTGACCACGGAGGTGAGCGTGTTGGGGGTCTGGTCAGAGTGACGCCACTCTCATGTCAGTGCATTTAAAAACTTTATTCCCCTTGGACAGAACGAGGCACGCCGTTTCCCCGCAGCAGCGCCTCTAAACAAATGAACAGTTCTCTCTGAAAGGACTTTGTTCCAGACCGTTTCTTGGTAAAGACCAGGACCTGGTGGAGAACCTGCCCCGTAAACTAGAACTGTGGTCAGTCGTTTTTCAGTCCACGCCGTCACACCTGTCGTGAACGAGGTCACTGCTGTCGGCAGGAAAACCTGTCGTCTCATAACGGCGATTTAGAGAAGTGTTAGTGGAATCATTTTGTGAAGTTGTTTCCGTGCTCAGCCTCACGATCACGATCTGTCCCGGCACAGCAGGGGTCAAATGGCCTTTTGGTTAATTCTGGCACGTTTATACTTTGTGTTTATTAGTCCCTGTTAAAAACCTGAAAGAAATGAGCAGTCAGGTAAGAGTCAGTGTGGATCTTTTATTTTATTATTAGTTCATGCTTCCTCTGTCCTACATGTGGCGTTCCAGAGCTCTTACAGTCCTGAGGGGCTGGTTTTTCTAGACCGACCATCATTAAGTCTTTTGGCTCGGTCTCTTCTCTCCCTGTTGTAAATGTGACTGCTCGCTTGAAGTGGGACCATTTTTCTATTTTAACGATGGCTGTCGTCACATTTTAGACTCTTGTCGTTTCTAATCCGCCTCTCTCGTCTCTCCCAGGACGTCCGTGTGATCGTGGAGAACGCTCTGCGCCTGTTTTCTCAGGACCGGACCGGCCTGGCCGACTACGCTCTGGAGTCTGGAGGTGAGAAACGATCTTCATAATTCGGGTGCAACAGGATCAGTATGTTGTCTGAATAATGCTCAGACTCAAACCAACAGCCAGTCAGTCTGACTTCCTGTCCGCGGCTCCCGGCTCTCGGCCCATTGGTTCCTACTGAAGACATAAATCTTGACTGCACTATGATGTGACGTGTCGCCGTGAGCCGTTCCTGACGGGTGTGTGTCTGTGCTCGTCCTGCAGGGGGCAGCGTCCTGAGCACTCGCTGCTCACAGACGTACAAGACGAAGGCGGCTCTGCTCAGTCTGTTCGGAGTTCCCCTCTGGTATTTCTCTCAGTCTCCTCGGGTCGTCATCCAGGTACGTAGGTCGTACGGGCGGCTAAATTAAAACTGTAATCCACCAAAGAGAAAGTGATCATGCAGAAACTCTCTCTGGCCTCCTGCAGCCGGACGTCCATCCAGGAAACTGCTGGGCCTTCAGAGGCTCCGCGGGCTTCCTGGTGATCCGCCTCTCCATGAAGATCGTCCCCACCGCCTTCTCCCTGGAGCACATCCCCAAAGCCCTGGCACCCAGCGGGACGCTGCTCAGCGCCCCCCGAGACTTCAGCGTCTACGTAAGAGAGCGAGGCGCAGCCAGCAGCTCCGGCCCGTCAGAAAGATGCTCGGTTTCTGTTCAGCTGTTTGTTTTTGTCCCCAGGGTCTGGATGATGAGAGTCAGGAGAGAGGGACGCTGCTGGGCTCTTACAGCTACGACCAGGATGGAGAAGCTCTGCAGACCTTCTCCGTCGCTGTGAGTAAAGACTGCAGAGTGCTCGTTTACGCGCTGATGACGGTGAGTTCGTGTTTCACGTCCAAATGATCCGTTTAATTTGTCCTGCGCAGGAGCAGAACGACCGAGCCTTCCAGATCATCGAGCTACAGGTGTCGTCCAACTGGGGTCACCAGGAATACACCTGCATGTACCGCTTCAGGGTGCACGGGACGCCTGAGGACGCCCCAGAGACGAGTATTTAATCCACAGACGGCGTGGAGACGGCAGAGCAACATGTCTGCTGTTTCCTGCTTCAGCCTCCTGCTGCTAACTGTGCCTGAGAAACCGCACGCTTCACTTTCAGCTGCTCTCAAGTCTCCCCAGTGACCATAAACTCGCTTCCTTCCTTCCAGACCAGATGTGATCTGAGCGTCTGGTTTTCCTGTGGAAAAAGGAAACACTGACAGATTTGATGTGACGTCTATATGTTCTGTCAATAGTTAATATTTTTATATCAGTGTTTTGTATTTTCTGTGCTGAAGCTCCTTCATGTTTGAGCCCCACTTTTCTTTTTATCTGAACATTATTGCTGTCGAGAGCGGGACATGTTCCAACTCTTTATTCCCATTAATGTCCTGAAACTAACTGACCCTCCTGGTGAAGGGACAAAATCTCTAAACACATTTTTAAAGTTCAGCTGAAGATAAATCTGAAGCTTCGACAGCTTGAATTCACAAATCAAACGGAGTTTTGGTCTTTTTAGAGAGAAATGTTGTCTTTGTGTTTCCACATTCACTGCATCCTTACCGAGCCGCAATAGAGGAACACAAAGCGTTTCAAACTAAAGACCAAATCATATTTAACTGTGGATTTTATGCCCCAGCACATCCACTGAAATGGCCTCAGGAGAGGAGGGGGGTTAATACGATCCATTATGACCTAAAACCTGCCAAATGTCCCCCATGTGTGAGTATTTGGTCCCGCTCACAGCTGCAGCACTGACCGTAATGTAACTTTCACAAAAAACATCTTTCTCAGGAAGTTTTAGAAGAAGAAGGAATAGATTTGCACCAAAGGCCTCGACTGCACTTATGTTTCTGTTTTATTTATTTTGTCTTCAGGTTAATGGAAGATTTAATTTTATTAAGGATTCTGACTAATGTATGTTTTTGTATGTGATTTGAAGCTGGACGTAATAAAGACGTGAAATTTTAAGTTTTTATTGAAAGGGCTCGCGTCTGAATATCTACCAAGCTTTGTTTTGTTTCAGCTGGGTCAGTTTTTCTGTCAGCAGGATTATCTGGTGAACCTTACTTTGAAATCTTTGGCCGTGAACCAAGGAACAAGTTCACTTCTTTCCCTTTGTGGTGTTCAGCCAAGTCAGAAGAGTGAAGAGTTCCCAACATGCAGAGCTGAATCAGACGAATGTCTTCCTAAAGTCTGTGTCAGCAGCCGCCCTTTGTCTCTATTAAAGTGTCCACGTTACAGTGTGTTGTGACATCAGCTGCCAAGTTATGTGATGCACATTTGACAGATGAGGTGCTGAGCATCATGAATAGCAGTTCTCATCTTAAAGAAAAGAATATAGCCTCTCTCCCTCCACCCACTGAGAGGAGCTATGAGGCGAGGAGAGGACAGAAATCGGGGTTGGGAGAAGCCACGAATGGAAAGTGACTGACCTACAGAGAAACCGCCGCCCATAGAGCCTGGTCGCTAGTCCAGCTGAAAACCACCGATGCAGGACGTTCAAGGTAAAACAACTTGAAATTAATCTAATGAAAATAAACCTAGGCAGTCAGATCACATCTGATTTAATGAATGTTTTGTGAACAGTATTCACAGCTAACAAAACGTTACGTCTACGTTTGCAGACTCTTTTCTACTTGGAACTTGAAGGACATTATCTAAGGAAGGTTGACATGAAGGGCAACTGGACTTGGTTGAAGATACTTGAAGACTTTTTCATTTGTCATCTGAGAGAAACTCTAATTTAAAGAGGTGGTATTCTGCTCATGTTCAGGTTCCTCATCTTATTTAGAGTTTGTACCAGAGCAGGTTTACATGGTTATATTTTTGTTCTACTGCACATTGCTGCAGCTCCTCTTTTCTGTGTTGAAGGCTTCGTTTTAGCTATGGAGTGATGCATCTTGTCTCTAAATGATCTTTGTTGGGAGTTGCACATGCTCAGTTCCTAGTTAAGGACTACTAGCCAATCAGAAGCAGAGAAGGGCGGGTCGGCGAGAAGCCGGTAAACGGCTCGGGTTCAGCCGTACGTGTTGCCGACCAGCTTGGCAACACGGACTGGAGCGAGAGTTTCAGAGCGGTGAGTTATTAATCTGTATCCATAAAGTTTTAACTGAGCTCTGTCTCTACATCACAGGAACAACTTTATGTCCACTGACTGCCTGGAGGGTAGCTAGTGTTTGGAAGGGAGAGGAGAGCTGTGAGCTGCAGCTCGCTGTTTCTGGGGCGTGTCGGAGTCGCCGCTCGGCGAGCGTTATGACAAGTATTTTCTTGTGACATCACAAGAAAGCGGAAGTAAAGGCTGGACTACAAACAAGCGGTTTTCAGTTCAGAGCAGAGTTTTCTGTGAGAGATGGGAACCTTTTCACTTTACAAACCTGTTACAGCACAAAAAAGGAATATAACTCAATAAAAGAGAGGGGAAAAGCAGAATACCACCTCTTTAGCCTTTGGTGGGGTCGTTGTCAAGATGATCGATAGCGCGGGTTCGTTAGAGCTTCTGGCTGTTGTAACAACAGCTGTTATGAAGAAAGCCGGGATAGAAGCCATGTAGGCCCGGCTCTGACTGAAGGCCGCTCCTCAAGCTCCGGTCTGGACTAAATGGGACTCGTGTTGGCCAAGCAACAGAAACCAGAGACTGATAACAACCCAACAGAGGTTAATTAGCTTGGACTCTACCAGTCATTCAGAACATATCTCCTTATGAGAGGTGTCTTCGAGTATCTTCAACCTAATTTTAACTACAAACTATGACCTAGATGACTGAGAATCTTTACAGATGACTCTCATATTAAAAAGATGTACACACATTAAAGAGTCATAACATCTTCTGTCAGATATGATCATTTATTTATAATATTTGCACATATAATAAACAGCCAGGCAAGATATATACTGTGATGCATAGTTGAATAAAGGATATGCTGACAAGGATCACCGTGTCTAATCATAAATGAGGGAGCTGAATATCATATGTTGGCCTGTTCAATCAAGACACTCTTAAGACGGATTCATTAATAATCACAGACGGGAGAGCAAGAGACGGACCAAAGCCCATGTAGATTGGTGGACGCCTCCAGTGTCCTTACAGGGGTTCAGAGCTGGCCCACGGTTCTGTGATCAGGATGGAAGCCATGAGCTTTCCCACAGAGGCTGAGCCATGTGATACTCCCATCGTTATAGCTCAGCCTCTGACCCCCTTTTGTTAAAACTGGGAACCATCACTCTGGTCTGTCAGTCCTTCAGCTCTGCAAACACAGAGGTTATGCTAATCCAGCTCCACGTTCTCCTGTGGGTCTGGCTTCTGCCCCCTGGTGGCCTGGAGAGACATGGCAGCACACAGATATGAGTCGCTGCATCACTGCTCTCTTCAGTTCAATGTTCAGAAGCTGAGCAGCCAGTCCTCTGATCAACAGAGATGTGTACGTACCTTATGGATGAAACAGATGGCAGCGATGAACAACAGCGGCAGGACCACCAGTCTGGAGATAACAACTGCTGGATCTGATGAAACGCATCACGTCAGATCACATGACATCATGGGTACAACATGAACTTCAGTGACGTTAAATCCCCTAAAATCACTTCAGCATGTAACTCTCTGATTCTGTTCTTACAGAGCGAGCTGCTCTGATCCTCTCTGTGTACTGATAGAAAGATGATTTACAGCCTGCTGGCTCTCTCCTTAATGCACCTGTCTGGCTGAAATGAAACAGGTGAGTGTTAACATCAACATCTATACATGGAACTACAGCAGGCTGCTTGAAGGGGCCACAGTTTAAAGTAGTGAGCGTCCAGGAGCAGGTCCACCTCTCTACCCTTCAGGAAGCTTTATCCCAGATAACTTTACCACAGACTGTCACTGTGACTGATGGTCCTACCTGAGCAGGTGATCTCCATGATGGCGGAAGAGGAACCTGATGACACACACTCCCTCAGAGCAAATCCAGACTCAACACAGTCAGAGCTGATCTCCCATCCAGGTCTGTCTGAGGAGTCCTCTCTGCTTCGTGTTGAAACAGCAGATCCACAATCCAGCTCTCTACAGACTGCAGCTGCTGACTTCAGGATCCAGTTAGAGCCATAAACTGGTCTCCAGTCTCCCTGTTTCACCTCCAGTGTTCCTGCACAGCGACTGGCTCCTCCCACCAACCTGACATCATCAGGCTCTGAACAGAAACCAGAGAGTCATCAGTAAAACATTAAAGTGAGTTTCATCAGAAGAGAAATGAAGCAAATCAAAGCTGCAGCTCCTCTTCTACCTGAGCAGGTGAGTCCAACAGCTTTTCCAGGTGAGCAGGTGTTTCTAGCTGAGCCTGAGCTTCTACAGTCCAGGAGAGCAGACTCATTACCTCCACACTGGAACTCTTTGGTCCACATCGGAGCCTCCACTTCTCCATAGAGCGCCCCCTGGAGGACTGAAGGAGCCCCACAGCCGAGCTCCCTACAGACCACCTCTGCATCCTGCTGGTCAAAGTCAGCTTCACACACTGAGGACCACCTCTGGTTATACTGGTTAGACTGGTTAGACTTCACCTCCAGTCTGCCTGAACACAGACCAGTCCCGTTCACCAGCCTCACAGAGTCTGGAGAGAGAGAGAGAGAGAATCTTTATTTGTGTATGTATACATATTTCCAAACCATTAATTCCATTAACAATAATTATGTTGTCAGCTCGGTGGTGCAGAGTTCTGATGACCCCTATCCTATGCAGAGGGTGGTGATAGTCAAGGACTAAGTATTAGTCTGTGTGTGGGTTTCCTGTCCTCTTCAGTGTGTACAGCACAGTCCAGAAAGGCCAAAATGTTGTTGCTGACATACTCTTGTGTGAACTTGATGTTACTGTCCACTGCTTTGGGTTTTAATTTTGGTCTGCGCTGAGGTTAGTTCTGTTGTTCAGGGTGTGTCTTTAAGCAGTTGGGTCCTTACGGTTTCTACTGCCTCCATGTTGGGGATACATGTGAACAAGGAGCTCCCATCATAGGACACCATGTTGTTCACATGAATCTCCACCTTGAAGGCAGTGGAAACCGTAAGGACACAGGTACTACAAGACAGATATGTGGACCATGGACAGTAACATCAAGTTCACACAAGAGGATGTCAGCAGCAACAGCTTGGCCTTCTTGGACTGTGCCGTACACTTTGAAGAGGACAGAAGCCTCCACATGGGGTATATAGAATCCAAAGCACACAGGATTTGCTCTTTAACTCTCACCACCCTCTAGGGGTCTTCAGAACTCTGCACCACCGAGCTGACAACATACCAACAAGTGCCCAAACCCAAGGGAAGGAGCATAAACTCCTGAAGGATGAACATAAAGCCTGTGGATACCCAATTAGACCTTTCTGTGGAAACAGCCACAAGTTTCAGAAGAACACCAAATGGGTGGTAAGTAAATATGTAAGTAAACATTTACATTTGGCAGACGCTTTTATCCAAAGCGACTTACATTTGAGGAACAACATACAAGCATCAACAGAGCATCAATACAGCACAAGATCTACAACTGACAATACATAATAGTAAGGGAATCAATAAATTCTAAGAGCTAATGGCACCAATGAGGTAAATACCTAGGGAAGGAAGTAAGAGTTAAGAAAAAAAGTGCAATCAATACAAAAATTGTGCAATCAGTACAAGATAATTGTAAGGGGATAGAAGAAGAGCACAGGAAGTGCATGTTGGAGGTTAGGAGTTAGAGGTGTTATAAGTGAAAGTGTTCTAGGAAGAGATGAGTTTTCAAGAGCTTCTTGAAGTTAGAGAGGGACGCCCCTGCTCTGATGGCGTGTGGTAGCTCGTTCCATCATGGTTTCACAGATGTGAATAGCCGGGACTGAGATTGCTTTGTGTGAAGGGATGGCAGAGCCAGGCGGCGTTCGTTGGAGGAGCGTAGTGGCGGAGAAGGAACGTAAACTTTATGCGTATTACGGAGCTTAGGCAGACACAGTAGTCACTCTGTATGCAGCATTAGTGACTTGAATTTGATTCGGGGGCCACGGTGGAGGTCACTGAGTAATGGAGTGACATGAGTCCTTTTGGGCTGATCAAAAACCAGACGCGCTTCTGCGTTCTGAACCATTTGTAAGGGTTTGACCGCACAAGCTGGAAGACCTGCTAGGAGGGCATTGCAATAGTCGATGCGAGAGATAACCATGGCCTGTACCAGAAGCTGGGTGGCGTGCTGAGTGAGGTAGGGCCTGATTTTCCTTATGCTGTATAGAGCAAAGCGGCACAGCAGCAACATAGTCTGAAAAGGACAGCTGGTCATCAATCATGACACCCAAGTTTCTCACTGCCCTGATAGGAGTCAATTTGTAGTTTGATGTTATGGTGGACAGACTGCTTGACTGGAATGACCAAGAGTTCAGTCTTGGAGGTTAGCTGTAGGTGACAAGTAGGGCTGCAGGTAACGATGATTTTAGTATTCAAAGCTTCTATAGATTATTTCAACAACTCATCAATGTGTCATTTAAGAAGTACTTTTGCTTGGCAGCTCCCCCCCCCCAGTAACCAGATCAGCTGTGCATGTTTATAGGTGATAGATATTTAATAGTCCTTTCGGAAATTCCAGGTGTATCATACAGCAATCAGACCAGACAGCTGCTTTACAAACACAAACATCACCCGAGTGCTATGCAAGTTATACTACAGACTCGTGCAGACAACACAACTTTCAGTGCCGTTCACACAACTTGCCATCATATGTCAGGGGGTCCCACACACTACTGGAGCTGACAACAGCTATGGCACCCGACGCCAGTTTCCAAACCACTTTTATCAAGAAAACGCACGTGAAATGTGAAACAGGAAATGAGCGATCCTGCACACGAAAACAGCTTGTGTGTGTTATTATAAAGATGGCAATTATAAAAACAAAGAATCTGGGTGAAAGGATGGATCAGCACATGCAGGTAGCAGGGACTGTCTGAGCTACAGATAGAGCTGCAGGTGCGTTAAAAGGTGCAGCTCCATGACACCCAGTTAACTCCTGACTGTGAGGTCACAACTCGCGGCCCAAAAAGGAGAACAAACAAACGCACGTGGTCACATTTTCAGCGGAGGACTGCAGCTTACTTTGGCTTCAACTCAACAATCAATCATGATTTCAGTTAAATGCTAATGTTGCTGTTACTTGTCTGTGGTCCACTGGCAGAACACTGGGGGCTTTCTGATAAGGTGCCGTCGTGCTGTTGCCGAGGCCACATAAGTTTTGTTTTAAGCTGGACGGACGGTAACATTACAGAGTTGTTGTTTTCTTTAGCTTGAAATAATCCCAGACTTTGGACACTTTCTTCTCCGTCCCTCGCTGTTTTCTCTCTTCCTCCACTTTGCAAACAGCGCCATCATAATCACGTCGTGTTCACAGCGTAAGCGCAATGTGCGACAGTAATGACTGTCCCTGTGAAACACTGTGCTGTATAGTTAAATGGACTAAACGAAGCATCGATTCAAAGAATTTGTGTCGAAGCATTTTATGAATCGATTTTAATCGATGAACCGTTTCAGCCTTAGTGACGAGCCTTCATTCATGCAGACATGTGTGAGAGACAGTCCGTGATCCGCGCCGCAACGGTGGGGTCATCTGGCGAGAAAGATAGGTAGAGTTGCGTATCATCTGCGTAGAAGTGGTAAGAGAAGCCATGCAATTGAATGATCTGCACCAGTGAGGTGGTGTAAACTGAGAAGAGGAGGGGCCCTGGCACTGAGACTCAGGGCCCCCCTCCCTAAACATTGTAGGAACACTCGGAGAGGTAGGATTCGAACCAAGGTGACACTACCAATAGTAATGTTCATATTCTGGACAAGGAGGACATTTGGTGTTAAATAGGAGTGAAAGAGGCCATCTACACCGGAGTGAAGAAACTGTCTCTCAACAGGGAGGAGGTTTGTGACACCACTTATTCCCCACTTACAATGCTGTCCTTCACCTCTTCCCGGGATAGTGAACAGACTTAACATTTTGCCTTGCGTGACTCCAACGACCCTAACATCTGTTGTTCCCACAGCCATGAGCACTAACAAACCAAGCGACATCCATCACCATGATAACGACACCACAGAGGTTAAATAGCTGGGACTCCCGGTCAGTCAGAATTGAATAAGCCTCTATTATAAAAGGTAAAAAAAGTATTTGAGTATCTTCAACCAGTTACCCTTGATTTAAACTTCCTTGGAAAACCATGACCTGGATGACTGAGAACATTCAGATACCATGTGGGGTGAGACACTTGAGTGTTGACATTTGAACTGAAGAAGTCACACAAGCAGTTTCAACATTAGTACAATCTGCAAAGTCTTCTTTCAACAGCAATGATTAAGATACAAACATATTCACATCTGTAATGTTGCTGAGCAGACCTCTGAGTCTTAGCATTTCATACCAAATAAGGAGTTTAACTGAGAACATGACGCAGTACATTTATACCAAGAAACTGGGAAGATTACTGTCATAGAAAAAGTCACTGATGGTCCTACCTGCGCAGGTGATCTCCATGATGGAGGAAGAGGAACCTGATGACACACACTCCCTCAGAGCAGATCCAGACTCAACACAGTCAGAGCTGATCTCCCATGCAGATCTGTGTGAGGACTCATTCTTCATTCGTGTTGAAACAGCAGATCCACAGTCCAGCTCTCTACAGACTGCAGCTGCTGACTTCAGGATCCAGTTAGAGCCATAAACTGGTCTCCAGTCTCCTCGTTTCACCTCCAGTGTTCCTGCACAGCGGCTGGCTCCTCCCACCAATCTGACAGGTTCTGAACAGAAACAAGAGTGTTTCATTAAAACAGAGAGCATAATAGCTTAGCATGTTAGCCTGTTGCTGCATATAAGGTGGACTTCTGAATTTAGATTCATCCATCTCATTTCATCAGCTAGTATATGCCCCTTTTCATCGCAGGGGAAATTTCCAAACAGCAGCACACAGAGAAGTTGTTCATAGTGTAGTAAATATCTCACCTGTGGCAACGCGCCCTCCAGGGGAATGGCCATACAGCAGTTTGTCCTGCCAGGGCTCACATAGTAGATTCTGTATCAGCCTTTGTATCTAATGAGGCTTAGGTTGGGTTTTTTTATCATCGTCACCCCACTGTACTAAGCTTGGTGACAGGTCAGAGCCTGGATGCCAAATATCAATGCTCTACATGTTCTACTTACCGATACCATGAGAAGTGAGAGTCTTGTTGAGTGTTGACATTTGTATTAAAGAAGTCACGCAAGCAGTTTCAACATTAATAATTATTGTTGATCAGCAGACCTTACAGATTCTACTAAGATTGAAACATATCCACATCTGTAATGTTGCTGATCAGACCTCCGAGTCCAACAAATTCTCACTCCCGACTCGTCACATGTTGACGCTTGGTCAAGGCCCTTTGCCGTCGCCTTTTAACAACCTGGGAATCCCTTTTGCGTAATTTGACATTTAGGGCTTCGCAGTCAAGGTAGCGTCAATAAGTGACGACTCGGGGAGTAAGAACAGGTTGCCGAGTCTCAGCATTTCTTGCCAACTTCGGAGTTTAACTGAGAACATGACACAGTACATTTATACCAAGAAACTGGAAAGATTCCTGTCATAGATGTCACTGATGGTCCTACCTGCGCAGGTGATCTCAATGATTGAGGTAGAGGAACCTGATGACACACACTCCCTCAGGCCATATCCAGACTGAACACAGTCAGAGCTGATCTCCCATGCAGATCTGTGTAAGGACTCATTCTTCATTCGTGTTGAAACAGCAGATCCACAGTCCAGCTCTCTACAGACTGCAGCTGCTGACTTCAGGATCCAGTTAGAGCCATAAACTGGTCTCCAGTCTCCTCGTTTCACCTCCAGTGTTCCTGCACAGCGACTGGCTCCTCCCACCAACCTGACAGGTTCTGAACAGAAACAAGAGAGTCATCAGCAAAACAAAATGTTTCACTAGAACACAAATGAACCAAGTCAAAGCTGCAGCTCCTCTTCTACCTGAGCAGGTGAGTCCAACAGCTTTTCCAGGTGAGCAGGTGTTTCTAGCTGAGCCTGAGCTTCTACAGTCCAGGAGAGCAGACTCATGGCCTCCACACTGGAACTCTTTGGTCCACATCGGAGCCTCCACTTCTCCATAGAGCGCCCCCTGGAGGACTGAAGGAGCCCCACAGCCAAGCTCCCTACAGACCACCTCTGCATCCTGCTGGTCAAAGTCAGCTTCACACACTGAGGGCCACCTCTGGTTATACTGGTTAGACTGGTTAGACTTCACCTCCAGTCTGCCTGAACACAGACCAGTCCCATTCACCAGCCTGACAAAGACTGAGACAGAGAGAGTACATTCAGATCCTGACACAAGCCTTTAAGTATCAAAAAATATAGTACCATAAAGAATCACACTGTGGTAGACAGCAATGCATGATGAATAATATAAACAAGATCTACAGCCTCAAAAGGGGGTGGAGTACGGCAAACAGATCTGGAGGCTTGGTGAGCCAGTGTGTGTCTAGGATCCAGAATTAGGTTGAATGAAACAAAAGGTAAATTTTACTTGTACACAGTTAAGTGTTAAGTTTATCAGTACTTTTACTTTGATACATCTGAATACATGCAACTTTTTATTTAATTTGTTGTCCATATTGCACATTCCATTCTTTCTCTATGAAACTTAAAGAAGCTGGTGATCCGCTGATCCCAGGATCCCTGAGGCCCTTTATCAGGTAGTCACCCTATCACGATTCTTTTCACAGTAGATAATGAAGCAAAGAAAGTTCAGGTTAAACCTCTCCTGCGTGTACCTGTGTACCTCAATAATGCTTATAGCTCTATACCACATAAGATGGTGAAAACAGTTGTTTGTAGAATGGCTAATTGGGCCCAATTAGGACATTTTCACCTACGTGTGTCCTCACTGTTGTTGCCAGCGGTTTAGACATTAACGGCTGTGTGATGTGTTATTTTGAGGGGACAGCAAATTTACACTGTTCTACAAGCTGCACACTCACTACTTTACACTATTATACAAGCTGTACGCTCACTACTTTACACGCTCACTACTTTACGCTGTTATACAAGCTGTACGCTCACTACTTTACGCTGTTATACAAGCTGTATGCTCACTACTTTACACGCTCACTACTTTACGCTGTTATACAAGCTCACTACTTTACGCTGTTCTACAAGCTGCACGCTCACTACTTTACGTTGTTATACAAGCTGTACGCTCATTACTTTACGCTGTTATACAAGCTGTACGCTCACTACTTTACACTGTTATACAAGCTGTACGCTCACTACTTTACACGCTCACTACTTTACGCTGTTATACAAGCTCACTACTTTACGCTGTTCTACAAGCTGCACGCTCACTACTTTACGCTGTTATACAAGCTGTACGCTCACTACTTTACACTGTTATACAAGCTGTACGCTCACTACTTTACACGCTCACTACTTTACGCTGTTCTACAAGCTGCACGCTCACTACTTTACGCTGTTCTACAAGCTGCACGCTCACTACTTTACGCTGTTCTACAAGCTGCACGCTCACTACTTTACGCTGTTCTACAAGCTGCACGCTCACTACTTTACGCTGTTCTACAAGCTGCACGCTCACTACTTTACGCTGATGCTCACTACTTTACGCTGTTCTACAAGCTGCACGCTCACTACTTTACGCTGTTCTACAAGCTGCACGCTCACTACTTTACGCTGTTGTACAAGCTGCACGCTCACTACTTTACGCTGACGCTCACTACTTTACGCTGTTATACAAGCTGCACGCTCACTACTTTACGCTGTTATACAAGCTGCGCGCTCACTACTTTACACTGTTATACAAGCTGTACGCTCACTACTTTACATTGGAGTAACGTGTCATTTCTTCAGTGTTGATACATGAAAAGATAGAATCAAATATTTACAAACATGAGAGGGGCAGACTCACTTTTGTGAGTTTTGTAGTTTTGTTATTAAACATTTCTTGTTATTTATTTATCTATTTTTCAGAACATTCTTAACAAATGCTTTTAAAAGGTGGTGGGGACATGTCCCTAGCGTCCTCAGTGTAAATGACACCTGCTGGAAGAGCTAAAACCCAGGTGGAGGAACTGTGTCTCAGGACGGAAATAGGAATGTGGCAGCAGTAACATGGACATGATGGGGTCAAGGTACTGACAAAATCAGGACAAAATTGCTTTGTCCTGATCCAGTTGGTTTACAACATCTCTTCGTCCAACCCAGGATAATTTGGCAATATTAGGTAATTATTAGGACAATAATTAGGACAACATATAGTATTACTATATTACCTATACTGTATGTCGTTATTTGAAGGCCCTGGGGAGAAGCACTAATAGTGGCATCATGACGAGGAGCTAAGAGCAGTTGCAGAAACTATCTGCATAGTGATTTTTATTTATATTTATTATACATTGCTAGCGAAGATTGGGGATTGGTTTCGTCAAGGAAGGGAAGAAACTGCAGCACTGAAGACCCTCTAGTGGGCTTCTTGCCACAGCTCGGAACTGGTAGCTGAAGTTTGACCTACAGTAGAAAGAGAAGACCCCATTGCCAGACCACCCTCTTGTATCTTGAGATTGATTCTGATACCAGTGAATCAGTGTGGGGCTAACACCTATTGTGGTTTATTTATGATGGACTCTTTGCTCACCTAAGCTATTAGCACTGCTACAGAGATTGATAGTGAGGCTGCTGATGATGTCTGGCAGAATTGAGAAGTCCTCGATACTGTAAACGTGAATTTCATCGGGATTGGAGGCGATGAATGTCAGCTCATTCTCAGGAGCATCCTTCACACCTGAGAGTAAAATGTAGTGTTAATACTGTGCAGAAGAAAAAATTAGACACAAAAACAACAAAACTAACTCAACCCAGTCATCAAGATATCAATGCTTTTGTCTGCAGCATAAAACATTATTTTCACAATGTAGCATGTCTAAAAGTAGCTATGAATTTTAATAAATTGATGAGAATTAATACCCAATTATGAATTTTAATATTCAGGAAATATCATAAAAATCTTTCATTTCGCAGGGGCACCACCTGAGTTGTTATTGACCTAGAGTCTCCGGACCTCTAGGTAGCTTTTAATAATTATACAATTATTACTAGTGATCAGTTAGTTAATAATCGCTAAATTATCTTAAATCAATCAGTCTCATATCTAAAGGGTCAATTCTCTTGGCAGGGATGTGGAAATAGGCAACACACAGTTCTTGATTACAGTGAATTTATTAACTAACTAAAGCGATATAAGCGGGTGGTTAAATACATCAGGGCAATAAACAATGACTGAAGAATGAGAATGGAGGTTTGACTGTGGGAAGCATTTGACTCATATGGCAGAGGAGAACTAATGAAAGTAAGCTATGAGTTTAGGAGTTAAAAAGACAATATTAAAATTACGGGACATTTCTGCTTGTCGACGGCCTGCTTTGGCCTGTTGAACGGGTCCCACGCTAGCTGCCTGATCCTGGCTTTTTGCTAGGGATTCTCCGGGGTTCTCCGTGTCTGACTGAAGAAAAACCTCAAGGGTTGGCCGTCCTCCGTCTGGCAATTCGGCTGTTTTCAGGTTTCCTTCGTTGCCACTGGCGAGACCACGTGGCTTGGTCTGACCTCGGTGAAGTTGGCTCGACGAAAAAGCTTAAAATGGAACCTGGTCGTTCCTCAATTAGTCCAGTGTAACTTAACAGACTGATAACTTAAAACAAAAGAAAGAAAGAAAATAAAAGAAGTAAAGTTGCTGGAACTGAGGTAAAAATCGATGTCGCGGCACTTCGCGTGTGTAGCTTCAAGCGAGTAAAGGCTTCGTTGCACTGGTCCAATTCTTAGGCCGTGGCCGGGAGAGGCACGTACTGAAGAGTCCAGAAAGCAGAGCAGAAGGGAAGAGCACGAGGAGAAGAGCAGAGAGCGGGCGACGTCGTGTGTCGCTCTTTTGTGGTCTGGGGCGTGGTTCCCCCAGGGGCGTTTCCGGTTTCCCGAGGGACTGCCTTTCTAAACTTTTAATGTCTATAAAAGAAAAGAAAATCTATTTGCGCGTATTATAATCAAATATTTTCCACAATCAAACCTCAGTGGTCAAAGGGTTGAACCGTTCTAAGTTAAGCATTTGGTAACAGGAAACAATTGTCACATTATTGGTCACAATGTTAAATAATGAGTGACATTTATACATTAACGGCATTTCCGATGATGGTATGTAATACTTATTTCATCCACTTGGGGGAGCTCAGGTTACATGAGGAAAGCTTAGATTAATCCAAAACAATCTCTCCTTAGGAACTGGGGAATTTAGTTATTCAGCCTTAAATTCAAGCTGGCGATTAAGAGTATAGTATGACATTTTTATCATCATTTCTAAAGGAATTGTGTGAGAAAGTATTGTGAACAAGCATTGGTTACACATTAGATGAAGGAGTGTCCTTAATCTTGCTGAAAATTAAAACACTGCAAAAGTAACTTGATTCTTTTCAACAATAATATCAACAACAGATCACAGCATCAACATGGTAACATAACTACTCAAACAGAGGCAAACGTAATCAAGTAACTAAAAGATTATTTAATTAAACAGTTAAGGCTTTGGGGTCTTTGGAGACTGCAGTCTTTGTTTACATAAAGTTCAGGCTGTTCTGGATTTTGTCACTTAGGCGTGAAGGAGTATCCCTTTGATGGGGTAATGAAACACAGAGCAAGGTCAGCCACCATTGGTATACATAAGCCAGTCAACTTTGTGTAATTACAAATTCATAATTACCCTACTTCTCTTTATACATCTATGATACTGGCCAACATTGCTATTACACATTGTGATGTGAGACTGGGTTTACTATTTGGTTGGCAAAGTAGTAAAACATTGGTTTTCTGATGCCTAAACTAAACCTTTGACAGACCATATTGACGGTTATGCATTTTTAATCCCATTCACAAGAAATCATAACTACTGTACATTACTGCTGACTCTTTTTAGCTGGACTTTTATCTATCTTCTGAGCAGATATCGCTTTTAGTAAAATATTTATAAGTTTTTCTAAACTTGCAAAGACTTGAAACATGCTTGACTTAATTTTCACAACTTAATTTTCACAACTTGGTGCCGGGGTCGTGATGGAACAGTGGATAAGACGCGTGCCTTTGGTGCGAGAGACCCGGGTTCAATTCCCCCACTGTGACACATCCACCAATGTGTCCCTGAGCAAGACACTTAACCCCTCGTTGCTCCAGAGGTGTGCGACCTCTGACATAGCAATTATAAGTCGCTTTGGTATAAAAGCTTCAGCTAAATGTAAAGACTTTCACCTATATAAATAACAATGTATATTTTAAGAGGCTAGCTAACTTTTTGTTGTGACAAGCATGAAATAGCAGGTCACTTATTTGTGTGTGGTAGTATTGTAGTTTCAGAGCTTTTGAGAGCTCAGCCTTACTTTACAGATTTATATGAGGCTGCGCTGCCTTCTTACTATTCAAACTGAAAGTCAGTCACCAATAGCGTAGATCTCTATCCCAGCATCCTTCAGCTTCTTCGAGGGGAGCCGGACGTCATCACTGGACTGTCCGTCAGTCAGCAAGACAGCAATTTTTTTGGAGTCTGCACGCATTCCCACATCGGGCTGGAAGTTGTTCTTCAGGGTGTAGTTAAGAGCCTTTCCTGTATGACAGAAATAAAGAGGCATCAAAAGGCAGAGGTACAAAGCTGGGGTGGGTAAAAACTCCATTCATCTTCTCACAGACTGTATGGTGACTGACAGTTGGATCACTTTAACAGCTGTGTCAGTAAATATCTGGTTCTTTGATGAAAAGTCAAAAGTAAAAGAAAAGAAGCCCGTGAGTATAAACAGTAAATGAAGGAAGTCAACTACAACTCCCAAGATGCATTTCAGTAAAAAACATTCAATCACTGAGTTTCTGTTGAGTCACTTACATCATTGATTAACATTGTTAAAATAAAGTTGTATATCTTTATTCATGCTATTGTACAATAATAATAAATAACAATAATAAGATAAAACTATGGTAACAATATTATTATTACCATTTCATTTTTATGGTAACTCTACTATTATTGCAGATCTACAATAACAAACGATATAAACAAAACTGTTTTTTTTACAGCTTTTATCTGGACTCTCTTTGCTGAAGATGCTTTGTCAATAATATTTCAATTACAGTTTTTTTCAGTATCAATGAAGTGTTTTACATTCACACATTGCTCAACAGATATCATATATTATAAAGTAATCTTTAAATACTGTAGTGCCTGATGTGGACTGGACAACATGCTGTTAATCACCTGTATTGGTGCTTCCTCCTCTGTATGGCATCGTGCGTATGGCCTTCAGCAGAGAATACTTGGTCTGGTGGGTGTTCAGGTGCCACTCAGTGTGTGGATCATGACTGTACTGAACCAGACCTGCAGAAAACACACAGCAATGTGCCTTATGTGCAGTGATTCTTCCTGTCTATGAGACACTATGGGCATGTTAACAATGATACACATGAGGACTGTAACGTTGTGCCGACCCATCGCAGCGGGATACCAGGGCTACATGGTATGTAGATTGCTGCGCATAATGTCGACCCAATGTTTGCTTGCGCGCAGAAACATTTAGCCTTACAGCGTGTGCTGAGGTTAGCACAACAAGCTAATTGCCACGGTGGCGAGATGAAACGCCAGAGCTGCAAAACCTGCCTGCATCGGTTGAAAGATTTTAGTTTGGGGTGTATCAAACCTGCTCCGAACCGTGTTTCCTAACCTGGGGTATGATCCGAACAGGGACTTCTGTGTACCGTGACACCCTTGGTATGCATCAGAACTGCTGTTGTTACCAATGCGCTGTGTTGCCAAAAGTTTTAGGAGGCGCACAGTACGCAGAAGTCGCCCACTTTCTGCAGTGTGAACAGCTACAGACTTCCAAATGTGCTGTGACGAATCACGCTTATCTATCTGGCAATCAGATGGACGAGTCTGGGTTTGGTTTTGGTTTCCAGGAGAATGGTTGTGGTGTGGGGTTGTTTTTCAGGGCTTGGCCCCTCAGTTCCAGTGAAAGGAACTGTTCATGCTTCAGCAGACCAACACATTTAGGACAGTTTCATGCTCCCAACTTTGTGGAAACAGTTTGCGGACGGCCCCTTACTGTTCCAACATGACCGCGCACCAGAGCACAAAGCAGGTCCATAAAGACAGTCAAACTGGCTCATCCAGGCCAGTTTGGTGTGGAGAACTTGACTGGCCTGCACAGGGCCCCACAACTATCACTAATGCTAATTCATCTATAAATATCACTACTGCTGCTACACCTGTTCTGCTATTAACAGCTTGTACAACTCCTAGTGCATGCTTCTGTTGTCATGAAAAACGCACAAAAGCTACACTATGTTGGCAAAATTTTTGGGTCACCTGCCTTTACATGCACATGAAGGTTAATGACATCCAATTCCTGATCCATAGGGTTCAATGTGGATTTTGTACAGTTTCAACTCTTCTGGGAATTCTTGACCATTCGTCTAGAAGTGCATTTGTGTGGTCAGGCACAGATGTAGGATGAGACGGCCTGGCTCGCAGTCTCTGCTCTAATTCATCAAAGGTGTTCTGCTGGGTTGGGGTCTGGACGGGGGATTGTAGTATTAGCTGTAAACACGTGGTGGTTGTCGAATCAGGAAGAGTAGAAGCACTTTAACTGCTTCAGGAAAAAGCTGTTGAGAATTAGTTTTATAGTAAAAGTAGTAGCTAAAAGATCAGCAAGTTTACATTAAAATACTATTTATAGATTAATTTCCTTTATTGAGTAACTTTTAATGCTTTATTTTCTGCTACTTTTCACAATCCTGGAGAAATTCACACCCAGGTGTGAAGTCAGCCCATGGACCCAGCTTGCAGCTGTGATTGGTCAGTGTGACCTGTGATCCTTGGCGTTACTTCAGAAAAGCTGTCTCACAGAGAAGACCTGAAAAAGGCCGGGTCCTCTGCAACAGAACCACAGTTCTTCCTGCCTGGCCAATCCACGACAGACCTGCCAGATAACAACTAGCACGCCAAGAAACTTCTCTTCCTCCACAGGCTGGTAAAGTACCTGGACATCACAGAGCTTCATGCAGTTTAACAGAATAACGATGGTAAGCACAGGACTGTTAGCTTTTGTAAATGATGCAGGGAGATAACTTAAAGCTCCCGCCTCACTGAGCTGTTCTTGTCTGCAACACGTGTTCATGTTCGTGCAGAACAAACTGTGCAGATCACAGAAATAGATGCACACTCGACACACTCGCATGCTCTCCTTATCACACACACATCTTTGTCCTTTAGTTGAGTTAGTCAGGTTCCATCTCTTGTGTTTTGCTTTTGTTTATCAGTTAAATAAATGCTTGTGTATATACATGCTGTTTCTTTAACCTCACCAACCTCTTCTATGTGGAACCACAAAGCCTTCAACCTACCAGCTATTGATTGTAATTTTGTTACTTACTTGAATTATTTATCTGTTACAAATTGATAGTTAGTGTATCTTATGATACCAAATTAGGTAATTGGCTATTATAATAATAATAATAATAATAATAATAATAATAATCACATTATTTAATGTAACTATAGATGCCATTTAATTTATTTAAATGTGTTCACATTGCGGTGTGAAGATTTGAGATAATGGTACTAATAATAATAATAATACAAACTTAGGGTGCTTGTACTTCTCACATGTTGGCTCCCCTCTGGAGGAGTAACTAGTATAAATTAGTGTATTAGTATAATATTATAACTTTAAATAAAAGTACAATGTTAGTATAATGATATTACATAAGTTACACTATATCTGGATAGTCTGCCTACAGAGAGTTTACAGGTTTTCTGTAGTACTATAAATCAAAAATATTACCAATCTGGACTCGGTCTGGGCCGATGAAGAATTCATCGAGTGTTCTACTGACAAAGGACCGGATGATTGCAAAGTTTTTTAGGCCGATGCTCCAGGAGCCGTCCACCAACAGCACGATGTCAGCCTTGGCTGTGGTTTCACACCGAGCACCTGGAAGAAAACAGAGGATTGTGGGATACAATACACAAAAGACCAAACATAGAAGTAAAACTGACTGCCATGCTAGCGGCTCAGTGAGGCTGTGAGCTAAATCAGCATGCTAACATGAACACATTAAAAGCATGCTAGATGAAAAGTTCAGTCCTGGACACCATGTTCTGGTCTGATGGGGCGGTGATGGTGCAGTGGATAAGACGCATGCCTTTGGTGTGAGAGACCCGGGTTCGAATCCACTGTGAGACACAAATGTGTCCCTCAGCAAGAAGACACTTAACTCCTAGTTGACATGTATACAGCAATTGTAAGTTGCTTTGGATAAAAGCGTCAGCTAAATGAATAAAATGGAAAATGCTCGTTACCATCAGGCTCCTCCTAAACCGTTACCGGTCTGTTACAAAATAATCCAGCTCTGACTTTCAGCAGGAAACAGGATGTGAACTCAAAGTCAGACCCTTTGTTGGCTTCATTTATCTTTACGTTCTCCGTTTACCTGTTGAGGTGTGATTTCCTTCAGCCTGGAGTCCTGAGGAGAAAGTCAGAAAACAAACATCAGTATAAAGCAGCATGCTGATTGGAGCAGAGCTCAGAGCTCATCTCAGTGAGAACACACACACAGATTAGTGAATGGACTCACTCTGGAACCAGATTACTGCTGAAGCTGAAACCAACAGTCAAACTTGAGTTACAAACTGACTTTTTCCATTTAAGCCATGGATATTTATAATTTGAGTCTCACACTTTTTTCATTTTCACCACAGTGGCAGGAGCAGAATAGGAAGAGTGGTAGTATGTGTAGTAAAGAACTATCTGTGTAGTTTTAAAGGTTTAAATTAAATGTTTCCATCTAATTATAACACAGTAAACTTATATATTACAGTATCTCACAAAGTGAGTCCACCCCACTGACACTCCAGTGTAAAGTAGTGAGTGTAAATTTGCTGTCCCCTCAAAATAACACATCACACAGCCATTAATGTCTAAACCGCTGGCAACAGAAGTGAGGACACCCAGAAATATATATATCCCTGTGTTTTGAATTTTAACATTGTTTTATTTAGGCATTTTAAATGTTCAGTATTTCCATACAATTGACCAACAGACCAACACAGCAGCCTTAAACCTCAATTCCCAGAATCACCATACCACTGCGTGTGTGTTTGTGTCGCAGTTTCCTCTTAACTTGTAGATTTTACATACAAAATATCAACTTCAGCAAAACTTTTTGGAGCTGAAGGAAAAAACAGAGTCTGAAAATGTTTCTATGAGTTTGAAAAATGGTCTCAGAAAAGTTACACCTGCACTTTGTTTAACTCTCGAGTTTTATCTTTTTTAAGTACAGGATGGCAGTAGTGTTTCTATCTTTGTCTTAATCTGCTGCTGTTTCAATTTTTTATTGACATTTATTTGATTCTGTTTTTATTCATTTTTCTATATACTGTACATTATATTGCTTTTATGTCCTCAACTACTGATTGTTGCTGTTCATTGTTCATCAGCATGTGCCTGTGAGCTCGGGTTAGTTTGAAGTTAAAGTCATCTTAACTCACAGAAGAGCATCAAAATTACAATCCTAGATTAAACGATATTGGAAAAGGCTAAAATCAAACAGAGAACAAAAAGTATTAACAGAAGTATGAAGAATACAATAATGACCTGGGTTAAGTTACAAATTCAAACTATATTCAAACCAACTTTGAAAAGCTGGGCATGTAAAGGGCTGATCTGATGTAATCAGTTACAAATGGAAATATAAAGCAGCACCAGAGCGAGACTAAAAACTGGCACACGTGTGGCAGGCCATCAAACACGTCACTTCAAAACCAGGAGCCACCATCGTCTCCGGACCTAAACAGTCTGTCCAGTATGAACGACTACGGATGAACTGCTGTGAGAAACTGGTTCTGAAGACCATTAAGAACAACATCCCAGCCAGCCTGGACCATGCTGGTGAAGAAAGCTCAGAAACTGGGGACACTGAAAAAGAAAATTCCTGTGTTGAGTTCTTGTCAGCTTCTACAGAGGAGCAGCAGAAAGCAGCCTGACTGGAAACATCACTAAGATGGGACGTGCACGGCCCAGGACCGGAGGGCTCAAACTGCTCAGAAGATCATTGGTACCCATCTCCAGAGCATCAGGGATATCGGTGAGGTGAGGTGTCTGCAGAGCCCAAAGGACACTAAAGGACAGAACCCAACCAGCCACAGCCTGTTCACCCTGCTGCATGCTGGGAAGAGATCTAGAAGTTTCTGCTGCTGCACCTCCAGACTGCAGAGCAGCTTTTGCCCCCAAGCTGTCAGACTCTTAAACTCTAATTGATCCTCAGCACTGCTCCATTTTTTTATCCAAGCAAATCACCCTGAGGTTACCAGTATTTGGCAAATATGTGAGGAGGAAGCCGCTAATCACACCAGAATATTCTTCCTGTCAGTTTTAGCAGGAATTCTGGACCAAAAAATGAAACATTTCCCCTCTGATGGCCCTAATATGCCATCGTATTCAGTATTTTGACACTGAGGTTTTGCACCTTTCAAACATTCATCATTCCAGCAGAGTCCTACCTGAGCTCCACAGCAACAGCAGCACCAGCAGCAGGTGATCCATGTCCAGGTAGACCGCCTGTCGCTTCTCGTCTGTCATCTCTTCTTCTGCTGATAAAATATTCTCTTTGCATGGCACTTGGTTATGTCTAAAATTTCCTCTTCTTCTCTTATCTCATCATCAGCCAACGGATGAGCAGCTTCTCAGAACTGAAGCCACGAATAAACCACAGATTAAAGGGACAGTGGCCAAATTGAGATATTGCTGATGAGACATCTTTAGGTCACTTGTGCACGAACACACAGAACAGATACACAGATAAACACACATACAGACACATTCTCATAAAGACTACATGCATGCACACGACACAACACACCCATACAATGTAGCTCATACACATATACTGCCATGAACTAGGGAACATACACATAGGCAACACATGTAAAATGATAGTTGTGTAAACACTGTAATCTTTATATGATTATGTCTCTTGTCACAGAATGTCATTATTTATTATGTACTCAGTTTAACTAATGTGCTCTTGGTACTGATGAAATGTTACGACACAGCGGCTGCAGATCCTCTCTGCAACATCTCTATCATTTTATTGGAACCTGTTCTAGTGTTTTTTAAATTGTTCCTGACTAATAAACTATCTTTCTTTCTATGATTTCACAGAACACATTTGCTTTATCATGAAAGGAGGACACGCCACCACCGCAGCCTCAGACCCTAATGCAGAGTCAGCAGGCTCAATTAATTATTGGTAATATTTTGAATTCGCTAATAAATTAGTTTTAAGCATTTTGATTTGTAGGTTATACAGTATGTGTTTTTGTTCCTAACAGGCGCCGTCCAGCTGTAAGACACACGAGTACAGCGCCGGCTGCTTGTAATCCCTCCCTCTGTGTCGTTATGTTGATCCAATCAACATGTGAGCTTTAAAGTTTGGCTGCGTCCCTGAAATATCTTCTTGCTAATCATCATTAAAGGACAGGTTAAGTTTATAAAATGAGTGGCTTGCAAAAAGGCTGTAAAGAGTTCACTGAACAGTTTCTATATATTTATATACTGTAAATGATTCAAGGTGTCAGACACTAGAGGATCAGTTCCTACAGTTCATCCTCAGGGGGAAATGAAGCTCCGAACTACATTTCACTGGAACCGGATCTTTAAGGGTTAAGTTGGAGCAAATGTTTGTTGTTTTCCAGGAAGCGTCTCAAACAGCGACTTCCGATTAATAAAAGATAAAACGAGTTGTGCAACAGGCGCTCCTCCATGTGTGGCAACACATACTGTGAGGTTGCCTCGGTAACAGAAGTGTTGAGAGCTGGGCATTGTGGATCTAATATGATGCCAGCTGCTCCAGAACCAGAACCAGAACGGACCTCAAGGAGGATCTCCGACCCTCAGACCATCTGCAGCTTCATCAGCTCGCCCTCTGCCGGGGCGGGAGAAATGTCGAGGACCAACTGGATTTTATCCTCCTGTCAGTGTTTATTTCATTCAAGAAAAATATACACTCACCTAAAGGATTATTAGGAACACCACACTAATACTGTGTTTGACCCCCTTTCGCCTTCAGAACTGCCTTAATTCTACGTGGCATTGATTCAACAAGGTGCTGAAAGCATTCTTTAGAAATGTTGGCCCATATTGATGGATAGCATCTTGCAGTTGATGGAGATTTGTGGGATGCACATCCAGGGCACGAAGCTCCCGTTCCACCACATCCCAAAGATGCTCTATTGGGTTGAGATCTGGTGACTGTGGGGGCCATTTTAGTACAGTGAACTCATTGTCATGTTCAAGAAACCAATTTGAAATGATTGGAGCTTTGTGACATGGTGCATTATCCTGCTGGAAGTAGCCATCAGAGGATGGTACATGGTGGCCATAAAGGGATGGACATGGTCAGAAACAATGCTCAGGTAGGCCGTGGCATTTAAACCATGCCCAATTGGCACTAAGGGGCCTAAAGTGTGCCAAGAAAACATCCCCCACACCATTACACCACCACCAGCAGCCTGCACAGTGGTAACAAGGCATGATGGATCCATGTTCTCATTCTGTTTACGCCAAATTCTGACTCTACCATCTGAATGTCTCAACAGAAATCGAGACTCATCAGACCAGGCAACATTTTTCCAGTCTTCAACTGTCCAATTTTGGTGAGCTCTTGCAAATTGTAGCCTCTTTTTCCTATTTGTAGTGGAGATGAGTGGTACCCGGTGGGGTCTTCTGCTGTTGTAGCCCATCCACCTCAAGGTCGTGCGTGTTGTGGCTTCACAAATGCTTTGCTGCATACCTCGGTTGTAACGAGTGGTTATTTCAGTCAAAGTTGCTCTTCTATCAGCTTGAATCGGTCGGCCCATTCTCCTCTGACCTCTAGCATCAACGAGGCATTTTCGCCCACAGGACTGCCGCATACTGGATGTTTTTCCCTTTTCACACCGTTCTTTGTAAACCCTAGAAATGGTTGTGGGTGAAAATCCCAGTAACTGAGCAGATTGTGAAATACTCAGACCGGCCCGTCTGGCACCAACAACCATGCCACGCTCAAAATTGCTTAAATCACCTTTCTTTCCCATTCTGACATTCAGTTTGGAGTTCAGGAGATTGTCTTGACCAGGACCACACCCCAAAATGCACTGAAGCAACTGCCATGTGATTGGTTGATTAGATAATTGCATTCATGAGAAATTGAACAGGTGTTCCTCATAATCCTTTAGGTGAGTGTATGTTGGACAAAAAGAGAACTATGATGAGAAGTTTTTCATCAACCAGTAGAGCCTAAAAGATAACGGTCGAATGGACAAATGAACTAACAACTGCTTCTTATTCAAAGAGCTGCAGAATCACACGCAAACAGTTTCCTCCTCCAGCCAATAACAGCTGTTGTTCGGGAGTTGATTTAGCTGTTTGACCTGTTGCCCTTAATAAGAAGCATCTCCGACTCGTTCTCACTCCCAACTCGTCACATACGGATGCTTTACCATCTGTGGACAAGAATTAACAGCGTCTGGTTAGACTTTTAAAATAAATTCAATGTTTTATTGTTGGCACCAAAACTACTCTGTTAGGTTTAGGGAAAGATCTTGGTTAGGGTTAAAATAACTACGTTACTTACAAAACATAACTAAACAGCTGTGTGGCCTGCTGTTGTTGCCTTTCAATTCTTTGTGAACCATTCGTTTGTTGTCGCTGTTTTATCGTGCAACACTTTGTGAACCCGGTTATTAAAATGTGTTTTATAAATAAAAATGGACACCCAGTTTCTAACCCACCAGTCCGCCCCAACCAGCTGCTCAGACCTTCCTGTCATTTACACTAGGGTCTAAGTCAAGGGGTCTTGACCAAGCGTCCGTACGTGACTACCTGGGAGTGAGAACGGGTTGTGCATTCAGTGACGTTCTGCCTCGGCCAGAAAAGTTCTCTGACGTTATTGGATAAAACAGGTTTATCTGCAGTCCACAGAGAGTTCGACAGGAAGCAGCGACCGAGCCGTGTTTTACGGTTGCGCTGTGTTCACTTTCTTCTCCGTTTTGTGTTTTGTGTGAGAGTGTGTGCTCTTTGAGTGCAAGGATCTTTGAGTGTCATCCAACTGGCTGGATTTGTGGGTGTTGGAGTGAAGCTGATTGGTCCGTTCCCAACATCCTGCCTTTTAAAATGGGGGGTTCCCACCAGTCTGACGGCAGCGCCTCGGTTCTGTCCTCTCTGTGGTGTTTGAGCTGGGAGGTCTTGTTAGGAGTGATCTGTGACCTGCGCTACGAAGGGAGTTTAACCTACTCAGTGTTAACTCGGGGTTATCAGGCAAACTCAGGGTGACAAACTCTGACCGCTACACTAGAGTTAAACGGTACTACGAAGGTGGATCAGAGCGTAAAAGCGGCCGGAGGAGGAGTTTTTTCACAACGGCGCATGCTCCGTGTTTCTCCAGAAGAACGCACGTTGGTAGTGTCAGAAAATTCTCAATGCAAAGACAAGTGAACGGTTAAATCTAACATTGTGGCGACAGAGCAAGGGAGGCTTGTTGGCATCGCACTGAGTAAATCTGTAGCCTGATTATGTTCAGTGTTCTTATTGTTGTTCAAATCTCTATTCTGTGTTTTATGGGCTCTTCTTTTATGTGTAATATGATGAAGATGTAAAGGTCCAGCTGCACATGAGGCCCACTGTCACAGAAAGAAAGGAGCCAGATTAATCTTCCAAGATTAATCTACAAGTAAAGAACTTGAATATTCTTTTTGAGATTATAGTCACACATTTATGAGAGAAACTTCACTTTGCAAGTCTGCAACATCACACATACATGTCTGCCGTGTAGAATGCAGGCAGTGGAAAGTTATATTAGACTTTGCACTCAGATTCAGCAGTGAGGAAACACTCGTGAGTTTAGCCCACAGTCACTGTCCTGCACCTCAGAGACTTGGGCGTATTCAGAAGAAAACAGAGTGATTTTCGATTTTTTATTACATGAATTTCTGGGAATTTCCGATTTTTCTTCTTGTAAATTTCAAACTTTCGTCTAGGATTTTTTTTCTTGGTTATTAACCCTGGCTCCCTATTTTTTGTGCACGTAGAATAATCAATCTATAAATGTGAAACCACTCAGGAGAATTCAATTATAGACTGCAGAAACTATCCCGTTAATTAATTAAGATTCCTCTCTAAAATCACAGCTGGGCTGCAGGGCTCGCTGTCTGAACGTGATGCTGTTGTGTTCAGAACTTCATTTCAGCCGCAGTGGAACAAATCAGGAAGAAATCTAATGTTTTATGAAGTGGTGTGTATTAATACTTCTCATCAGTAACAGAGTACAGATGTGTAGTCCCCGTGCAGGGAAACCTCGAGGTAACCGCCAACAAAACCTGCTCGGAGCAGTTTAGAGATGCAGCGTAAATTGCCATGGCAACAGACCTCGGGTAACACCTGTCCACCTTTAGCAGAGCGGGTTAACCGGGAAGTTCCACCTGAAGTTACCCGGATAAGCCAGTTACCCCGCTCCGTAGTACAGACCATTGGTTGATTAGCTGTGAGTAATTTGGTTTTTGATGTTTACAATGTTGAAGTTCTATTTGTTTTTATTCCAAACAGCTTTCACTGTACATGTAGAACGAGTCAAACCCTCAC